AGCTGGACAATGAATAAAGATGACTGAAGAAGAGATGCTTTTGAGCTGTAGTGTTGGTGAAGAATGCTGAAAGTACCGTGGACTGCTAAAAGAACTAACAGATCTGCCCTGGAGGAAGTGCAGCCAGAATGTTCTTTGGACGCGAGAATGGCCAGACTTTGTCTCACATACTTTGGTCATGTTGTGAGAAGGGACCATTCCCTGGAGAAGAATGTCATGCTTGGTAAGGTGGAGGGTCGATGAAAGAGAGGAAGGCCCTCAACGAGGTTGATTGACCCGGTGGCAGCAGCAATGGGCTCAAGTGTAGCAAGAATCATGGAGCTGGCTCAGGACCAGGTGGTGTTACATTCTGCTGTGCATAGCATCGCTATGAGTTGGAGACAACTCGATGGCACTTAACAACAACAGCAACAACAACACTGGGCAGGGTAAAGTTATGAGTCCTGCTTCACCACCCTATTCCCATGGAACAGGAGGAGACTCCTTATTTCAGGGAATCAGTCTCTGAAGGAGCATAAGACTTACTTCTCCAAGGGGGGACCCCAGCTGCCCTGAGAACAGAAGTCCTATCTTCAGCCATATTCCCTCAGGCAGCCAGAGGCCCACACCTGGCAAGTGTCTGAGTGAAGATTCTAGTTCTGCCTTAAGGAGCTTCACTTCAGGATTCTCTGTCCACCTAGGGTTGGGGAGATGTTGAGGAGGGAATGACTGGCAAGAGTCTACATCCTGAGTTCCACATATAGCTAAGAAAATCCAAGAAATGGTATGTAAGGCATAAAGTATACAAAGTATGATCCTATTTGCAATTAAGCACATTTAACAGGTGTGTATGTGTTTATACATACGTACACATACATATCCACACAAAATTGGCAAGGCTGTACAACAACATATTATTCCTAACTATTGGTATTGTAAGTAATTTTACTCCACCTCTTTCTTTATAAAAGTATACAATCCCTCATCCAAGACACCAAAACCCAAAATGCTTTGAAAAAAAAGTCTTTAACTCAACTTGCATCATAACCTGACCTGAACTACTGACAAGAATCTATCTATTCCATTTTGGGGTGGACAGTCCAACATTTGATGCAGAAATATTCACGTGTTTGATTATAAGGTGCTGCTCCAGACCTCAACAGAGGTGTTACATAATATAACAGAATACATACCAACTGACATTTTTAAACTCTGAAAATTTTTCTAAATTCCAAAGCCCACCTGATCCCAAAGGTTTGTTAAATGAACCTGTATGCATGTGTGTTTTCAGATGTCTTTAAAAAATTACCTGACCACGTATCACTTGAAACATATTTTCCATTTCCAAAGAAAACAAACAGGAAACAACAGTAGGCCTTTCCCAGGCCCCTCATGCCCTCTACTGGCCACTAGAAACAGCCACCCTGATCCTGCATCAGAGTTGGGTACTCTAAGATCCCAGGCCTGTCCCTTGGGGACACCACCCTGCCCAGGGATTTATAGGATCAAGGCTAATGCTGACCAAATAGAGGCAATCACCTCTACAAGGCTGGCCTCCTGTCTGTGGTACAGTCAATTACTTGATACGGCTCTTCTAGCCATGGTCTTTGTGACTCCTACCAGATGACTGGGTGAATCTATGCAAACATGTGGTGCATTGTAGCCTACCAAGGGGATTGTATAGCTTGTTAGTAATGTAAATAAGGTACATGGCACCCTTGTGGAAGTGGAACCATGAAAATAAGGTGTATGGAACCCTAACGTGCCTTAAAATGAGCCCTTCCAGAGGCAGCAAGGGGGATTTCACTGCCATCGAGAGAGAGAAGCCAAGAGTGAAGCACATCCTTGGACCCGGGATCTCTGCATTGAGACAATGTCAGAGAGACGACACAGAAACAGCAGCAGCAGAGCCAAGAAACAGAGTGGCATCAGACAGAGAGATGGGCTCGCCAGACCACAGAGTAAGAAAGCAGAGTGCCTTTGAGCAGGAAGCTTGCTGGTGTAGTGGGGTATACTTAGGTGCACCTATCAGCAGAGCTGGCAGAACTAAAAGAGATGGCAGAACTTGCTTGAGCAGAGCAGAGGGCAGAGGCCAGGTCGTGAGGCTGAGGGCCAAAGAGAGGTGTGCCTTAGGCATAGCCGAGGGGAGACAGTCCTGATTGAAGAATTTTATCCTGAGCGTTCCTGAACCTAAACTGTATGTAATCTGTTGCTTTCTTAATAAACCCTGTAATCGTGAGTATTGTCTGTGAGTTCTGTGTGGCCGGTGCAATGAATTATCGAACTCGGCAGAGAAGTAATGAGTGCCATGGGTGTCAGAATTAGTAAAATGGTTGGAGAGTGGCAGCATGTATGACTTTTGCCTCATAGGAATCAGCCTTGGGCTGTTGTTATTGATCCTTCTCTCTCCCCCTTGTGAAGCTGGAGAAGGTCAGAGGATACTGCCCCCATGCTCTTTTTTTACTGTCTAAACTCTCCAATCCTGTTTCCTGTCAAATGAGACATATGATCCATTTGACAAAGTTGTTAAGAAGCTTAGAAGAATTTCAAGACCCGAAGAGGCTTTGTAAATACCGTATCATACACTGGTAAGATGGTCACCAGTCACAAAGGGGAGAGACTGGCACAGAGATAATGTGTAACAGTGAGAGCCTCAGAAAAATTTGGGTGAGGGGATGAAGAGGGGGTGACAAGGGAACATCCAACTTGCCCCACCATCAGGGCCCACACCCTAGGAAGGTGTGGCTGGCTTTCCAGAGATGACAAAGGTACTTAGTAGCCCTTTAATGGGCTTCCATGGGCAGCACAAAGACTCCTGTTTGGAACAACATTCCAGCAGTCCAGGTGCCTCTCCTGCCCTGGAAGCTGTGGACTAGCACACTCTGGTCAATTGCCACCAAGTCCATACTCATACTCTGCAGGTTTAGCCATCTCCTAGCACCATGGGATCTGCCTGCTCCAGTCAATTTTCCAAGCCCACCTGGGATATCTTTCCCCTGATAGAAGGAGTCTCCAAGAGGGGTATTTGCAACTGTAACTATAGCCCCAGACTGGACAGAAGGAAAAATTCTTGAGGAAAGAAAAAAAAAAGGGAACACCGCAAGCACCTGCTTCCAGGTGTTAGGAAGAAAGGAGCTAGAGAGGGGAAACAGAAATCAAAGAAGAGGAAATAGGCTATTGAGTCAAGACTCTGGGGTGGGCAGTAAGGGCAGAAAAAGAAATCAGATTTGGTCTCTACCTTCAATAAGCTCACAAACTGTGAGGCAAGGTACAGGGAAACAGCAATGACCACACATCGTATGAATACGGCCATGAGAAAGGTGAACACAGGGGTGCTGTGAAATGCAGAGGAAGAAGGGACTTGACCCAGCCATTAGGGCTGGCACTGGTGCCACCTGAGCAAAGGATTAAAACAATAAGAACTCAAATATTTAATAACTGGATGAGAAATGAAATCATTTCTGCCACAAAGCACCAGAGATGCCCTGGGCCCAACAAGTTCAGCCAGGTTAAAGTCCTGGGTAGGACTAGGCAGGTAAGCAGGGCAGAGCCAGGAAGATGGCTCATATTAACCGAATACCTGTCCCAGATGCAAAGTGACAGATGTAA